CTGGAGCAAAGCCAGCTCATAATTAAAGAGTTTGGGGGAGTTAAAGTGAGAGGTGATAGACAGAGATCTCAGCTTTCTGCCATTTATTCTTGCTTCTGAGCTATTGTTTGTGTCAGAAGGGATATTGATTTTCTATAAAAATAAGAAAACAAGAGGCACCAAGGGGCCGTAGAAGGTCAGTTCGGGCTGGAGAAGGAGGGGGAGGGTTCAGCATTCCATCTCTGTCACTTGCCTTCCAAGAGAAAGGAATATTTTCTTTCCTATAAAATCGGCCTCTAATACATCACCACAGGAAGGCTCTTGACTGCAACCTCAGGCCATCACCAAACCAATTCACTTATGAAAGAAAGAAGCTAAACCGTATTCAAAGAGAACAAGTGAGTGATGTGTTAGTAGAAAAGACAGCAAAATTGGGCTATGAACCACCTAATTATCAATTGCTATATAGGCAACTTGAATAAAGATTAGTAGAAAGTAACTTTACAAAAGAGCTGTTCCATTTTAGAATGGAATGCACATATACAGAAAACTATTAAAATAATAACTGATCTTTCTGCAGGCATAAGAACACTATTACATCATAATAAATCTTAGTTCCTCAGAACTCGAGGGATTGGTTGGTATAGAACTGAAGAACAGAAAGAGCAAAAGCAAAAAGAATTATTGGTTACACTTAAAATTACTGGGTCACTCCATGTTTAGTTAGAGTGAATTTAAGAAAATTAGAAATAAAGCTCTCTAACTGAGACATACATTTTCAAACCTAAAACACCTAATACATGCTTTTTTATAAGAACTCTATACACTGACCAGGCTAAGCTAAATAACCGATTCATCCTACTAATGTTACAAGTTAGATCATATACATTCTGATAATCCTCAACACCACTGATGAAAAGTAAAGTTCTACACTTTGATCTATGAATAAATTGGTACATCCAAGCAAATTTATGAAAAGAGTAACTAACAGGATTCTTAGTAGTTCTTTCAATGCAGAAAAACTAAGAAAATTTTGACAGAATCAATTCACCAAGACAGTATATTATCCAAATCATACACTATTATCTACTTAAACACACTCTAATGCTAATCCTGTTTATAAGGCATGCTTAATAATTGAGGGTAGTAGCCCTGACTGGTGTGGCTCAGTGGATTGACTGCTGGCCTGCAAACCAAAGAGTCACTGGTTCGATTCCTAGTCAGGGCACATACCTGGGTTGTGGGCCAGGCGCCCATTAGGGAGGTGTACCCGGCAACCACATATTAACGTTTCTTTCCCTCTCTTTCTCTGTCCTTTCCCCTCTCTCTAAAAATAAATAAATCAAATCTTTAAAAATAATAATAATTGGTGGTGGGGGATTTTTAGGGCCACCTCACTGTTGAGAGGCTGAACATAATGTACAGTCAAAGAATAAGTAAGAATTACCCCTCTTCCCCATAAAATAGGTTTGGGGGGGGAAGTAGAAAGTACTTCTGTTTATAACCACATATGAATCATCATAAACAAGACAAATTTAAGATTCCTAAATATTCGGATTCTAAAGGATTTGTCGTTTTCTATTTCTGCTACTATACTCTACCCACTACTTCCTCCTCCTAACCAGCTGCAAGGACTTTGGCAGCCACATTATTGAAAAAGCTCTGGCCGTGGCTGGTGTGGCTAAGAGGACTGAGTGCTGGCCCGGGTACCAAAGAGTTCCCAGTCAGGGCACATGCCTGGGCTGCGGGCCAGGTCCCCAGTAGGGGGCGCAAGAGAGGCAACCACAGGCTGATGTTTCCCTCTCTTTCTCCCTCCCTTCCCCTCTCTAAACATAATAAAATAAATAAAATATTTAAAAACAAAACTCTGAAGTCACAGACCAGGGAGATAAGGGGGAAACAAGGTCTTCTCAATTCGGGAAGAGTGAGAAATTCTGTAAGAATCGCTGCCTACTTCAATTTATCCAGGCTCTCAGATAACTAGAGTGTTTATTAATTACAACCTGACTGTAACGCGCAATAGATTGGGTATGAAGGGACCAGAAGACCAAAGTGCCTCACTGCTGGGTGACAGGCTCTACATTTGGAACCAATCAGGGGCTGTTATCTTACAGGAGCCAAGTCAACAGTCTCTCTCACACACACAACTGGGTCAGAGTTTAACAAGAAATCCTTGGGAAGAGTATACACAAGCTATCATCCCAAAACACAATATTTAAAAGTCATTCTCAACAGTTAAGATTACTATCTGGCATGTGTGCTCAATACTGAAACAAACTTGACCACCTCAATTGAGAGTTTCAACATTGTGAAAGGCTACCAGTTAATTACATATTTCTTGTTTAATTAAAAATAGCATGATGAGGGGGAACTCTCTTCTTAAAACACTTTATTTTTATTTATTTTTAGAGAGAAGAGAAAGGAGGGAGAAATGTTGGGAACCGCTCTGCCTGGTTTCAGAAGCTGTAACCGCCCCCCACAGCTAAGGCAGAGTGAGTGACCTTTGGACCATAAGCCACTAAGGAGACAAAGCTTATCTCCCTGGCAGGAGCACCACTTCTGCTCCTTTTACTTCATCCATAACTGGCCCCCAGTACTTGATCAGTTAGCCAATGATGGGTAAGATTCCCCAAGGGGGGAACGAACTAAGACAGGTATGATCATGTGGAGGCCCCAGGGAAGGACTTGGGGGGCTATAAGAGGGTGATGGACTCTCGCCCCTCGGCTTTGACATAGCCTGAGTCCTCATTCTGTCTGCCAGAAGTCTCCTAATCTCTTGGCTGCCTTACTTCCACTGCCTGACTTAAGCCTGAAACAATGACAGAGGACAGTGCAGCCCTGTGCAGGAAAGGGCGTGTTCCCCGGTGATCAGGTCTAAGAAAGAATATGTAAAATCCTGTGAAACCTGCTTTGATAAGAAAGTTCTCAATTAAATAAGGGTCCAAGCAAGAAGTGAGTTTGTTCCTCAACGTTTTATGGCCATTTAGCTATCTGATTCTAACTCAAAATACGCCCTCAGAGTTCTTTGTATGTTATCTATTGTTCGATCTTTACTGCCTGACAATGAGTAATGAACTGTACCTATATTCCTGTGCAAACTGAAACCCAATAAAAACCTGTCAAGGCAAGAGTTGGGGCGCTCTCCCCTCGAGGGAGTAGCTGTGCCGTCCTTTTCCTCCACAGTCCATCTGAATTTCTTCTGTTTCAGCTACAATGCCATGGACCCCACGAGCCAGGGTCAGTGTCATTTCAACTGTGAAAGGCCACCAGTTGACTAAGTATTTGTTTAATTAAAAATAGCATGATGAGGGGGAAAAAATCTCTTCCTAAAACATTTTATTTTTATTTATTTTTAGACAGAAGGGAAAGGAGAAAGAAATGGAGAGAAATATCAACCGGTTGCCTCTCACACACCCCAACTGGGGACCTGGCCCACAACCCAGGCATGTGCCCTGACCAAGAATAGAACCAGTGACCTTTCAGTTTACAGGCTGGCGCTCAGTCCACTGAGCCACACCAGCCAGGGAAGGGAAAAAATCTTTATAATCCAAAATTATACATGTAAATTGGATAAATAGGCCATGGAGTATACATTAGAGGAAAATTAAAAACCTAATTATAAGCCTGCCGAGTTGTGCAGCTAGACTAAAAACCACTCGTGAAAGGTACAGGCACACAGACCTACAAAGCTTTTCCTGTTACTGACACAGCCTCACCTCAGAGTTCCCAAGGTTTGGCTTTGTTTTTCCAACAAACTTCAGAAGCAAAGCCCTAAGAAAGGTCATATACCCCAAGGTAGAAGCTGAGAGTAATAGAGCCAAAGAAAAAGCCAAGTCAAGGGCAGGAAATGCGGTGGTCATGTGTGAGCTCCAGGTCCAGATGTGATTTCCAGTTCTGTCTGCATCCTTGGGCAAATTATCCCACCGCTGCCAACCTCCACTACCTCTTCCATAAAATAAAAATAGTACCAAATAGTTCCACAAGACAGTGGGGAGTGAACATTACATGAGAATGTATGTTCTGCACAACAGTATAGCACCTGGCACACAGTGCTCATAAATGCTAATTAATGTATCACTAATACAATACAATGGCTCTCGGTCACTCAAGCCACCTAGGGAACACCTACGGAGGCATCTGGTTTGATACTATGAAGAAGGGGTGGGAAAAACGTAGAATCCCAAATACCTGCAAGGACAGATGGAAAGGTCCCTCACCGCAAAGCACTGCCCAACTAAAACACCAACAGCATCCCCATTGGAAAACAGAAACCACACGTTATTATTATTAATAATATTAGAGTATCAAGCTGGGGAGTTTCAGTGTTCCTAGGACTATCTGAAATGTAAAAAATAAAAACCGCACTGACATTATAAACATGCAACCATTACAGACAAATTCTTCTGGCTCAATGACATTGGACATAAGACTAATAGGCTTCACCACTGTTAGTTTCAAAGCCTACCATGTCTTCAGACCACTTGAATGTCACAGCCATAAGAAATATACTCAATACAGGCAAACTCTAAGCAGCAGAGAACAGAATTATGGCCCAAAAGTATCTAAAGCCATGATTCTTAATGGGTAAAGGCAGTCCCAGGAATATTTACAAACTCCACAGGCCTGGCACAACATTTATAATACACACACACACACACACCAGCCTCTGCTGAGACCCTGGTTCTAAAGAACAATACCTATGTATGAACTGCGTGGCATAAACACCAGCAAACTTTTTAAAATGAAATTCTGGTTATGCACAACCGGAATTTTGGAACAAAAAGTTTTAAACAATTTTCAGAATCAATTGTGTTTCCATTACATTATAGCGTCCCTGCCTAGGGAAATAAAGTCATGAATGTTCTTTTAAAACTAAACACTAGCAGATTGGTTAAAAGAGACCTATAAAGTCAGTATCACAGTGGCTGATTTGAAAGGAAGCTCATTTCATCAAGATTGTGGATTTGCATTTTGGGTCAAATTAATCAGGAAAATCTCTGATCAAGTAAGAGAAAGCTCACCATTCTGACATGTTCTCATCAGAGCCCTGTTTTTGCTCATCTGCTTCACACTCCATCCTTTCTTTCCTTCCTGTTTTGCTTAGAAAAGTCCTGTTTTCTGCTGATTCACACAATCCGTGGCCTGATGAGGTCCAGGGAGTATTCTCCTTCCAGCGTGACAGACGCTGCTTCTTAGCAGACTTGAACCTACATCCTCGCTCATAGCTCCAATCTGATACCTTGAGCTTCTGCTGAAGGCTGGCAGCCACCTCTGATGTCACTCGCTTCACCTTCCGCCGGCGCCTGAGAGGTCGACAAGGCGCATTTTCAGTAAAGGAGTCAGATTCGTGCCAAGAATGTTGTTTACTCTTAACAATGGTGTTGAGACCTGGGTGCTGTTTGGCTACAATGGTGTCATCAGAATCACTAAAATTGGTGACCGGGGCCATTTCTCGACAGTCCTTGATGGCCTCATCCAGACTGGACTCAGAGGCCTCACTGTAGCAACAGGTGTGCTCTGCCAGGTGAGTGAAGTCTGAACGGCGCTTCCGGCCCCTCCGTTTGCGAAGCTGCCGCCTCTGCTGCCGAGGGCTCAAGGCCATCTCTTCCCACAGCTCACCAAGCTTACTCTGCTCCGATGTCTGCTCCAAGGCTGAGGCTAAGTCGTGTACCAGCTCATCCATGAGGCCACATCTACCAAAAGGAAGTTCAAAAAAGAGAGGGAGAAAGCCTGAATAGGTTCTGTTGTTTTAGAATAGTTTGACAAAATATATCACGGCACTGCGGAGTCTACCGTATCTAAAGAAAACAGCCACCTTTCGGCTGGCCACACTTAGAATGCTACCATCCGTGCTCGCTCTGGCCACTGAAAATAGTGTGTGGCCCTTGTTAAATGCCTAAAATCAACATGCTTTTAAGCACAAAAACTCACTCACCACATGACAAATGAGATGTTAGCAGAAACAAGCAAACTCAAGGGAATAAACTTTTCCCCTCTTTCCCCGGTTAAACCTGTCACTAAATTACCTGCTCATCTGCTCATCCAAAGTAAATAAGAAAATGTCTCATCAGACAGGAGCAGAGAAACACACAACTTTGAAACCACGGCTGAAGGGCTGCTTTGCAGTCTGAGGTCACTGATAAGAATGCTTGTGGAAGGTAGCAGAAAAACAACTTCAGTGACGCGCTTTAAGGAAAACTGTTTGCAGTTTCAGTGACCCAAGAATTTGCCCTCTGAACGGAAAATAAACAGACTCAATTTACACCCATTCTGCACCCACAGCTGCCACCTGGAAGCTACCAGAGAAAGAACCTTATAAGAGTATATCTACATTTTTTAATAATTACCAACTTTTAAACTCTTGTCCCACCCTTCAGAAAATAAGTGATCACCCCAACTATGTGCTTTTTCTGGTAGGCCATCACACAAAAACAGGGTGCGAGTACAGCTGCAATGACAGGGGTGGGTGGAGTCCTTAACATTCCCAGCTAACTGCGTTCCTACTTTTCTACTCGTTCATGTCAAACCATCATACTTCAGGGGTCACTTCAGAGGCAAGCCTTCAAAGGGATAACAGGAGTAAAGACCAATTTTCAAAATGCCCTTTTAAACGGAAACATCTAATATAATTTGTACAATAACTATTAAATACATATTAAATTAGCACTTTTTCTCTAGTCCTTGTTAAAGCCAAAGTATTTTGAGACCGTAATTAGAGTTTAAATTTCTGAGCGGATTTCCGTTCCTGTGGTTTACATTCTGCTAAGGACTCCCACAACCTATTTGCATGCTGTCCCAACGCCAATGAACTCAAAGGCACCAAACAGTCCACTGGCTTCTCCGCCACATTGGTGGGCGCAATGGAGACATCTAGTCCCCAAATTACCAAACAAAACTTCTCAAAGTGCCAAAAGCCACACACACACACACACACACACACACACACACACACGACTAGTTCCCTTTAGAAAATAAGAAATAGTTTAAAACGCCCTGACTGGGGTTTGGGAGACAACCGTCCCTAAGACCAAAATAGTCTAAACCTACTCCCAAATGACAACCACTGCTGTAAAAGCTCAGGCAGAACTGTACAAACTTTAACATGGAACTAAGTTACCAGACAACTTGTGCAGAACCTTTTCCTGATTCCAAGACCGTAATTCGCAAAGTATGTGACAGAAGAACCCTGGAACTCCCACACCTCGTCTCGGGAGGCACAGTGCAAAAGGACCCCCGAGTCCAGGCAAGCACTTGGGGAGAGGAAAGGCTGTCTAGTTTACGCAAAGGAAGAAGGGGAAACTGGCAGAAGTAAGAAGGCAGACGCGGGGTCGGAGGGAAAGACACGGTTAGGGGCCGAGGAAGCAAGAAGGGCAGGAGGACTTCCCGTTTGTGCTCACCAGGGGCAAGGGGTCAGTCCCACCAGGACAGAAAGAACTATAAAGAAAGTCCTGGCGACTGAGCTCTCTCTGAGATCAGGTGTGTCGCAACAGGGCCACACGTGGGCGGGGGGGGGGGCGGTTCCCAAGGACTCCCCCCAACGCCCCCACCCGCCCCTAGGACTATGGCGATCACAGCTCTGGGCACCAACCCCTCGCGCTGTCGCCAGCAAAAGAGCCAGAAAGAAGAGGAGGTGACTGTTGTCTATGGACTTCCGACCCGAGGGACAGAGGCGATGGGCCCTGAAAAACAAGGCCCGACCACCCTCACCCCTCCCGCCGGCCGCCGTAGCAACACAAAGTCTCTGGCCGCTAAGCCCACGGTCCAGAGCCCCGCTGGCGCCAGCCCCCTGGACCCCAACCCTCTCAACCCACATCTCCCCCTCACCAGCTGTCGCAGGCACCTCCAACAGCCGCAGCTTCTGGGGCCAAGTCTTCCCGGCAAGGTTTCCCTCCCTGACCTCATTTCCGGTTTGGGCCGTAGAGGAGGGCCAGTGGCGGAGTGGGAGGAGCTGCCTGCGTGAAAGGGCCCACCCAGTCCCGCGCTTCCGGCCCTCAACCACGCCCACTTCCGCCCCAAGTAGGGCGGGGCCTTGGGGAAGCTCGACTGGGTCGAGGAGGGGTCGTGGTCAGGGCGGGGGGTAAGGCAGTGGGTACCGTGCCCATCTGAGGAAGGACGACCCGGTCCTGGCCTTATCTTCGTCAGAAAATTGGGCGGTAGGGAGAAGCTTAGAAATTACCCTTTCTTACTGACCTACTTTTTTTCTTATAACGTGTGTGTGAAGGAGGAAGAGGATCCTCATTTTAACCGTTTGCGTTGGTACAGTCTTTGGCAGGGTAGCTTTGCAGTGAGTAACTCAGGGTATTAAAAATACACATGCCTTGAGCCACAAAACAAGCCAAGTACTACTGGATTATAGCTAAAGAATAAAAGAAACATCTATGAGTACACACCGATACAAGGTAATGATATGAATAGTGACATGAGTAAATTAATGAATAGAAAGAACAGTTAACTCTCTAGTGCAGAAGAATTCCAAACGATTTATGTAAATTCTCCACCCTGACGCACAACTCCAGACTCCTTAAATGTGAGCTGTGCATAGTAACTCCAAAGAGTATACAGTGAAGAGTGGGAATTAGTGACTTTGTAGTGGAGAGACTAGAGAAACACAACCTCAGCCAGGTGATCAAGGTTAACATCTACAGTGCTAAATCATGTTGACAAAATGTGGCCTAGATGTGATGAGAGCGGTATTTTATCTCCTGCCCAAACGCACAGCCCCACTCTGATCATAAGAAGGAAACCAGACAAACCCCAACTGAGGAACATTCTACAGAATGCCTCACCAATATTCCTCAAAATTATCAAGGTCATCAAAGACAAGGACAGTTTTAGAAACTGTCACAGCAGAGAGGCACCTGGGGCAACGTGACAAGTTGGTATAATGTGGTATCATAAATGGAATACTAGCACAGCAAGGAGGGCATTGGGTGAAAAGTAAAGAAATTTGGATAAAGTATGGGCTTTAGTTAATAATAATATCTCACTATTGGTTCATTAATTGTGACAAATGTGCTGTACTAATTTGTACAGCTAGAGATGTTAATAATATGAGAAACTGGGGGTATATAACAATGATTTGTAGTGCCTACATAATTTCTGCAAACCTAAAACAATTCTAAAAGTAAAGCCTTATTTTAAAAATGCACAAAACTGTTAATCCTGAAATTTAGTCTCTAGGAGTTTTATTCTAAGGAAAAATTGGCAATGGGCATCAAAATGTTAAATATGGTACGTTCATCTTTGCAGCATTGTGGAAGGAGAGGTGAGAAGACTAGAAAAAAGCCAGAGACCCTACAACCTTGGTTAGTTACCTAAATTATGGTATGTCTGTGGGATGGAGTACCTGTGAGCCTTTCGAAATTGTGGGGGAATATTTAATGACATGACATCATTAATTTCTGATTGTATACATTTCTGCTGACTGTTATACTTTAATAAAACTGTTACTTTAAAAATGTAGAGTATGACTCTAACCATGTATACAGAAAATTAAATCTTTGCTTGCATAGGAATATGACCAGCATGATACACAACAGAGTAGTTCCATTATAAAAGATGATGTTATGTCTATGATCTGTTGTTTTTATGGATTTTCAGAATTTTCTATAGAGGAAACTTATTGTGAAAAGAACTAAGGTAGGAGACTTGGATGACTGAGCTTTCGAGCCAAAGTAACTAACAGTGGTTGGTGCCATTGGCACAACTAGAGGAAACAAGAAGAGAAACAGATTTTGTGGGAAGAGGATTAATTCCGCCTTGGACATAATGAATGTCTGACTCCTACAGGACAGGTGTCCACAGCCATCAGCCCTCCTTTCTGCTTCGGTGAAGTTGTCCCCCACTAATCTGTCAGCTTCCTTGGTGTCAGTTACCTCCCTCAGCACTGAAAGCACTCACATTTCTTGAAATCCAGCTTTTATTATCAGCTTTCTGCTAGACATCTCTGCTTGTTTACTCCACCAACATCTCCAATTTAAGACAGACAGGAAAAAAATCCTTATATTTTTCCCACAGTCCCTGTCAAAGCTGCCCCTGCTCCATTGTTCCCTGTTTGGGAAATGCCATCACATTCATGAAGTCACCGAGGTGAAAAGCTTCAAGGCCATTTTTTAGTTCCTGGTGCTTCTTTATGCCTCTTCATGTAATTAAATGCCAATCCCCATGGATTTTACTTCTACAGTATTCCTGCACCAAGCCTGCCTCTTTTTGCTTTCTCTCCACTATTCACCGCATCTGGGTAGGCAATCACTTTTCTGGATAGTACAGCTAGGCCAAAACTGGTAAAGCTGCAACTCATTGTGGGGAACGGGGAAGGGTAATAAAAGGACTGCTCACGCTGACTTTGTGGAGAGTCCAGAATGGAAAATTAGAATCTGTGGAGCACCAGGGTGCCAGGAACTGCCTGAGAAATGCATAGAAAATTAAGTTACATGATAAAAGAATATAGTTATGTATCATTTAATGATGGAGACACATTCTGAGAAGTGTGTCATTAGGCAATTTCATCATTGTGCAAACATCATAGAGCACACTTACACAAACCTCAATGGCATAGCCTACTACACACCTCGACTCTATAATGTAGCCTATTACTCCTAGATTATAAACCCGTACAGCACATTACTGTGCTGCGTACGGTAGGCAATTGTGACACATTGGTATCTATGTATCTAAATATATCTAAGCATAACCTGACTGGTGTAGCTCAGTGGATTGAGCGCGGGCCTGGGAACCAAGCAACCACGGTTCGATTCCCAGTCAGGGCACATGCCTGGGTTGCAGGCCAGTTCTCTCCCTCTCTCCTTCCTTTCCCCTCTAAAGATAAATAAATAAAATCTAAAAAAAATATATATATATATATATATATATATATATATATATATATATAAGCATAGAAACACTACAGTAAAAATACAGCACAAAATATTTTTAAATGGAGCACCCATATAGGGAACTTACCATGAATGGAACTTGCAAAGGCTGGAAGTTGCTCTGGATAAGTGACTGAGTGGTGGGCAATGTGAAGTCCTAGGACATGACTGCACACTACTGTACACTTTATAAACACAGTTCCACAAGGCCTTTCCTTGCTTCCTTTGGACAAGGTCAGAAATAGAACATTGAAGCTATCAACACTGCTTCACGAACAGGGATGTGGGCTGGATTGCTTGGAAATATCGATGAGAAACCGGCTGGGTAAAGTATGCATCACTATAATAGTGGCTGTCAGGAGAGAGTGAAGGTGGCCTAAGGATCAGTAGGAACAAGAAATCAAGATGGAGAGATCAACTTCCCGCCAAGATGGAAGCATAGGTAGTCACACTGCCTCCTTGCACAACCAAAAGAAGGACAACAACAATTTAAAAACAAAAACAACCAGACCGACAGAAAATCAAACTGTAGGAAAGTCCGACAACCAAAGAATTAAAGAAGAAATATCCATCCAGACCGGTAGGAGGGGCGGAGTCTGGCAGCTGGGTGGAGAGGACTCTTGGCAAGGCAGTGACTGGTGGAGTGAGTGGTCCCACATTCTCCCACATTCACGTGCAGATAAACTAGGAGGAACACCTGGGGAGCGAGACCGACCTCACAACCCAGGATCCCAGTGCGGGGAAACAAAGCCTCAAAACACCGACTGAAAACACCTCCGGGGGTTGAGTTGCCAGGAGAGACTCCCAGCCTCACAGGAGGGTTCGTTGAAGAGACTCACAGGGTCCTAGTATGCACACAAGCCCACGCACATGAGAATCAGCACCAGAGGGGTTCAGTTTGCTTGTGGGAAGCAGGGGAAGTGACTGAAATTCAGCAGAGCAAGCACCATTGTCCCCTCTCGGAACCCTCCCTCACATACAGCATCACAACCCAGTGACTGGGTTGCCCCACCCTGGTGAACACCTAAGGCTCTACCCTTCGCTACGTGACAGGCATGCTGCGACCAAAAAACATTGGCCCAAATGAAAGAACAGATCAAAGCTCCAGAAAAAATACAACTAAGTGACGAAGAGATAGCCAACCTACCAGATGCACAGTTCAAAACACTGGTGATCAGGATGCTCAGAGAATTGGTTGAATTTGGTTGCAAAAGATGAAAAAGTGAAGGCTACAGTAAGTGAAATAAAGGAAAGTGTACAGAGAACCAATAGTGATGGGAAGGAAACTGGGACTCTAATCAATGGTGTGGACCAGAAGGAAGAAAGAAACATCCAACAAGAGTGACAAAACAAGAATTCAAAAAAAAATGAGGAGAGGCTTAGGAACCTCCAGGACATCTTTAAACATTCCAACATCTGAATTACAGGGGTACCAGAAGGGGAAGAGGAAGAGTGACAAGTAGAAAACTTATTTGAACAAATAATAAAGGAGAACTTCCCCAATCTGGCAAAGGAAATAGACTTCCAGGAAGTCTAAAAAGCTCAGAGAGTCCCAAAGAAGTTGGACCCAAGGAGGATCACACCAAGGCACATCATAATTACATTAGCCAAGATTAAAATGAAGGAGGGAATCCTAGAAGCAGCAAGAGATAAGGGGACAGTCACCTACAAGGGAGTTCCCATTAGACTGTCAGCTGATTTCTCAAAAGAGATCAAGAAGGGGCTGGAAAGAAGTATTCCAAGTCATGGGAAGGCAAGGACCTATATCCAAGATTGCTCTATCCAGCAAAACTTTCATTTAGAATGGAAGGGCAGGTAAAGTGCTTCTCAGATAGGGTCAAGATGCAGGAGTTCATCATTACCAAGCCCTTATTATATGAAATGTTAGAGGGATTTATCTAAGAAAAAGAAAACAAAAAATACAAATAGTAAAATGATGCAAACTCACACTTATTAACAACCATACCTAAAACTAAAACAAAAGCAAACTAAGCAAACAACTAGAACAGGAACAGAGCCACAGAAATGGAGATCACATGG